TTCATGACAAGGTTAGTTTCTGAGCTGCTCATTCACAATAATACACATCTATTGTCTTTGTACTTTCATATTCTGCTTAGCATTTAAATATTATGCAGCCACATTGCAATGATGTATATTTTAAATTAATCATTGAAAATTTCTGAAAATTAGCAAAATTAAAATATAACCTCTAAGTGAGTGAGTGGGTAAATCAAATATTGTTAGGAGAACTATAAGATTAAGTTCCCTAAAAAAATTAGATGAAAGTTTTAGGTAGTATATACTAGTTACATGAATACACACATGTTAATGCTTCCACAGAGTCATTTAGATAACCGAATCTTCCTAATCTTATTTTTCCAACAGTTCTTAACTTCCTCAACTTATACTTTAACCACAGAAGACTTTAAGAACATAAATCTTAATGGCCAGGTAAAAACTACTGTATTTTCCATTCCTCCTTAGGATGAGTTCCTAGAAGTGTGATTATTGGTCAAAAAAAGAATATTTCATAATCTTTAATATAAATTAAAACTTTGTCTTCTCCTGTTTTACTCAAGTGTTTAATGCACATTATTCAATGACATAGTATATGTCAATCTTTATACTTATGTGGACACATCACTTTCCGCATCCCAAGCCTGTTTATTCTGGACAGTTGACAATTTAAAACAAATACAATTAAAAAGATTTTTCTTAATACTAAAATATAATGTGGAGAGAAAGTGAACTGACAAGAAATACTAGTGGGCTAATAAAAGTAAAGGATGTACTTTAGTGTAAAACCCAAGTGCGTATGTACCTCCCTCTCAAGTTGTTTAAAAATGCACACATAGATATCATCATCATGCAATCCACAAAAATTGCAGAACCACCAAGTCTCAGCTCTCTAAGTAATTAAAATGCAAAACAAATAAAATTCAGAACCATCCTATAGGATTCTGCCACATTTTCAAATTTTCAGGAAGTGGAATTCGTACATATTTTGTAAACATAAACTTCATAGGCAAAGAGAGTTTGAGATAATTTAATTCCTCACAGTGGCTCAGTGCTGAGCCACTCAAAACAAATTCAGACAAAAATGTTGTCAAACTACTCTTTAAAACAACAAAGGACATAGATTTCATTACCTCCCTTGGAGTTCTATTCTGGCATATCTAGCCATATAATGGTGATCCTCAATATCAGGGAAAAAAAAAAAAAAAAAAGACAAAATTTGTAGCTTATATTCTTATCAGAAAGTCATCTGGCTGTGACACCAAATTCACTATTTTATGTGGACTTAAAGGCAGAGTGAGCAGACAAATGAAAAAATTGAAGTTTCCTCCATAGTAGTATTTACTAGGTTTTTAGCAGAGCTTCAAATTGGTTCAAACTGGTTCCGTCACAGCCATTGCAGTAGAACTGGAACAGACCCCAATTTGTAAAATGTGGAACTATAACCAGAACAGGAAAAATTACAGGTCAAAAAGCCTTGGAAAAAGGGGCAGGGACCAAGTTTGCTGGTCTGATAGAGCCTGGTGGAACCACTGAGACTATAGACCCTAGCTGCCCTTCAGGTCTGGAATTGAATGCACACCCGTGGTTTCTAGCCAAACAAAAAACAGGCATATGAGTTAAACATTTACCTCAAGTAGATACACTCCTTGGAGAGAACA